AAAAGTCAGTTTTTGAGCAAGAGTGCTCATCTTCGAACTCGATCTGTCTTTTTATGATACAAAACGGCCCTGAAATTCCCAGATTGATATCTCAATTCTTTCTCGAGTTATCGTGCGTACAGACGGACAAACAGACAAACAGAATGAAACTTTTCCGGTCAGTGGAGTAATGGGCTTCGCTAATCGCTCAGCCAATAATCGAAATCGACCCTCCAAAAAATCGTCAGTTACTAAAATAATCGAATCGAGTTTTCGATTAATCGAAAAGTCGCACAGGCCTAGGCCAATGAGCCGGCACACCTCCCCCCACTGGTCCTTGATGGCGTCGTCGATGGGCAACGGATCAAGATCAACTTGCTGCTCCGCGTCGACGTCGTCCTCGTCCTCCATGTCGACGTCGTCCTCGTCCCCCATGTCAACGTCGTCCTCGGGCTGGCTAGTGGCATTTCCCTCGACGGCATCCTCAGTGAGGATTCCTCACCCATGGCCTCATCGTCGGTCTCGTCATCCTCGGTGCCGTCGTCTTCTGAGCTTCCCTCAGAGCTGGACTCTGCACTCTCTTCCATTTCTTCGAGGTCACCGTCTGGATTTGAATCGGAGTCCTCCTGTTCGGGAAGGCGGGCACCATGAGACGCACGGCCACCGCGAGCGCCTCGTCCACGGCGACCAGCCAGTGTTCCGGATCGGTCGGGTATGCGCGTCGTCGCTGACAAACCCGACGCGCTCCGAGAGCCAACCCGACCCGACCCGCCGACTCCGCGGCCGGCCGCCTAGCCGCCTGCAGTGCGAGAGAGACAAAAGACGCAGTCTCACTCGCACGCCGATTCGTCGGGTTGGGTGTGATATCTGAAACCGACCGATCCGGAACACTGCGACCAGCACGCCCACCGTGAGCTTGACCGCGGACACCGCGGCCGCGGACACCGCCTCCACGGACACCGCCTCCACGGACAACGCCTCCGCGAGCAACGCGGGCAGCACCTCCGCGACCACCGCGTTGAGGACGTCCAGCAAGAGCATCGCGAGCAAGGTCCGCAGCCAGGTCTCCCGGCTTCATCTCAGCAGCTGCAGCGTAGTCGGCGTCAGAGAACTCACGTATTCCCGCCTTCTTGAAACAATTTACTGTGGTCTCAGTCTTCACTTGACTCCAAGCCCAGTAAACCAAAGAGAAAAAAAATAGTCTTATATTTGGGAAATAATCATTGCAGTGTGATTTTGGGAAATACGCACCTGGAGAAAGTGAAGGGCTTGGTAGACATCTATGATTTTCCTCGTCACGTTCGGCTTTCCTTTGAGGGCGCACAGCCGCTGGACCAGTCTAGTTCGGTAGAAGTGCTTGACATTTTTTATGATGCCTTGATGGAAGGGTTGGAGGCAGCTGGTTGTGTTTTGGGGCAAATAGACCAGCTTTACATTTGATAGTTCCATTTATTGTGGGTGAGCGAGGCAGTTATCAAAGAAGAGGATTATTTTTCTCTTCCGAATACTCATCTTGTTGTTCAATTTGATAAGCCACCGCTCGCATTCCTCTGTCGTCATCCACGCACTTTCCTGGCTAGAGTAGTCACATGGCAGGCTTCGGATGTTTGAAAAACAGCGCGGGTTCTTAGACTTGCCTATCACCAGGGGCGTAAGTTAGTTGCTCCCATGAGCATTGCTGCCCAGGAGGACTGTCAGGCGGGCTTTGGACTGTTTATTGCCATGGGTATCTTCTTTTTCCAGGCACATGCTCGAGTCAGGCAGTAGATTGAAGAATAACCCAGACTCATCGGCATTGTAGATATCCTGGAGTTCATATCCTTTGAGCAGGGCCGGCAGGACACGCGTGCGCCAGGCCTTAATCGTGGCATGGGGCACGTCAGCGGACTCACCAGACTGCTTGTGGAAGAGGACCTTGTTTCGCCTTTTGAACCTTGTCAACCACCCACCTCCACGTTCCTTGAAGTTGGTGATGCTTAGGCGCAGGGCGATAGTTCTCGCCTGGATCTTCAGAACTCGGGTGCCGACGGGGATCTTCACCGGCATTGATCTTGCTTGAGAAATGAACTGAATTAATGCAGCTTCAAGCTGCGGATACTTAGGCGCCTTGATCCTGCTGGAGTCTAGTTTGCCCTGTATAGCAGCCCAGGGTAAAAAAACCATGACTGTCATGGTCAAATAGAGATTTTGACCATGGGAAACCAAAATTTTAATCATGGACATTGGCTAGACCATGGTGATCACCTATGCCCATCT